TGGAGAGCAGGACTTGGGATTTAGTTAGTGTTCTCAAATCGTAGCACACATTGATTGCTTAATAAGTTCATTTCTTCCAACAAATGTTTGTTGAGTTACTGCTAAGCATCAGACACTAGGCATTGGGAATAACGGTCAACAAGATTAGCAAACTCTGTCATCAGGAAGCTTACAGTCTTGTGGGGAGATGGAGTAACTCTATTTTATTTTTCTTTTTCTTATTAATTTTGCTAAGTACTATGAAGGAAACAAACAGGATGCTGGGAAGGGGGTCCTTCTCCCCTGAAGGCATGGTCAGAAAAATCCTCTCAGAGGAGGAGCATTTGAGCTGGGACCTGAATGACAAAAAGGGGCAGCCTCGAGAACTGCAGAGGAAAGTCCCAGACAGAGACTGCTGCATTTGCAGAGGGGTGGAATGAAGCTTGATGGGTTCCCAGGGTCACTGGGTGGAACTGGGTTCATGAGGTGTCAGGGCCAAGGTGAGGCTGGTGGGGCCCAGATTGGGCTGGGCCCTGCGGGCCATGGAATGGGGTGACAACTTTATTCTAAGAGTAATGGGAGCCTGTGGATGGGATCCCTCTGGCTACTGTGTACAGATGGGGGAGGAGCTGGAGGTAGAATTTGGAACAGAGGATAGGCAGAAGTCAGGCTGCACTGAGCCCTCAGAACTAAATCTATGGCAGTGGGAAGAGGCAAATGTGGGAGGCTTTGAATGATGGCCTGGGTTCCTTTTAGAGGCATCAGGGGTCAGGGGAAGGAGGGAACAAAAACCTCAGCCCAGTTGGGCTCAGTGTACCAGGCCCACCCTGGATGGAGGGCAGCATTCACGTCAGCACCTGCAAAGAGCTTTACACATGCTCTTGCCCTGAGTGCTCATAGCACTCTGCAGACTGGTATCTGTGGCGGTCCATTTCATAGAGGAAGAAGTAGGCACAGAGAGGTCAAATGCTTCTCCTCAAGTGACTCAGCCAACAAGAGGCCTGTACTCACCCACACCATCCTGCCATCCATACACCCTGCTGCTTGCACTTGGAGGTGAGGAATGGGGGGAGAAAGGCCAAGTATAAGACAGTGAAGGAGCAGTCACAGGTCCCTGCCTCCTGGGAATGTACAACAGCTCAGCAGGGCACAAACAAGTTCAATGCAAGGGTCCTGTGAGCCAAAGCGTGAACTCTGGCCTGACAGAGTGCAGATGAGGGAAAAGGCATGGCCAGCTTAGGATCAGAGAAGGCACCTGGCATCTGTGCCAGACCTTGCAGGCTGGGGAGAGTTTAGACATAGGAGCATAGGAGCTTGGGACTCACTCCAGGCAAGACACTGCCCAGACAAGGCCAGCAGGTTGAAAAGCCAGGAGAGACATCAGGGCCCTTCTGGTTGCTACATGCGGGAGCCAGGGCTGGCATAGCAAGCCAGCTTCTGGCGCAGCTCTGCACAGACAGGTCATGGGTTCAGAAGAGACCCCAGAGACTCCCAAGATGAGGAAACAATGTGGGCTGGGTTTTCACATGCTGAGTGGGTGTCATGAATGAGCTGTGAGTGGTGATAGCTGAAGTGAAGTCCCTCCCATTTCTCTAGACTCTGAACTTTGTCCAGATTGTGGGATCCCAGAGTAGGAGGTTCCAATAGGCCACATGCCAGCTGGCCCCTGCCTTAGCACTTCAGTGCATGTTGTTCCCCCCTGTCTTCCTTTTCCTCACTGTCACTCTCTAAGACATACCCCCACCATTTCCCCAGACTAGCCCTCTGATTTTCTCTTACACTTGCTTGTTGTTGCTGACCACCAGGACAGGGATCTGTTTATGTCACTTACCACCACATCTCCAGTTCACATCCAGGTGCTAGGCTCTTGGGAAATATTTGTTGATTGAATGACAGAATCAGACCAAAGTCCCCCACTTTAGAGATAGCCAAACTCAGTCCAGCAAGAGGAAGTCAGTTGCTCAGCCCACAGCCAGCCTGTGACAGAGCTGGGGCTACAATGCTTAGGTTGGGTACTTTCTGCTGCTCCACACTGTATGGCAAGAATAGACTGAGAGGTCACCTAGGGTAGCGTTGCACATACACAGATTACATGACACTATCCCTTCCTTCTAACCATGGACTTCACACTTTGGTGGCCCTGGGGGGTTTGGAGTTAGGTAGACCACGAGGGGCCTCATGAATTCAGACTTGAATATCTGCTGAGCATCTCCCATGTGCCTGCCCTGTCCCAGCCTCCTCAGAGGTCCCACCAAAAAGAGTGCTCTAAAAGAGAGGCCTGTGGGTCTGTGAGTGCATGTAGCGGGGGGCTATGCATGATGGAGGCAACATCGTGGAGAAGTGATACCCAAAGGCAGGAGTTAGGTCAGGCACCTGGGAGGCCAGGAGAGTTCAGGCAGGGGGAAGAGGTGTGCAAAGGCCCTGGAGCATAAGGGATCACAGCAGGTGAATGTTCTGCCTAGAGGTAGGCCCAATGAGGATGAGGGAGGCAAGAAGGCAGAGGGTGCTGGGGCAGCAGCCATGAAGGCATTGTCCTAAGAGATGCAGGAACCAACCCATTGCAGGGTTTTGTGCAGGGCTGGCCTACTCTGACTGGTTGTTTTGGGGAGATTACTGCTGTTGTAAGGAGAATGGATTGGGGCACCTGAAAGGCTGTTTACCAGCTTCTGAACAGCCCCTACCGGATCTGGGCAGGAGCCAATGATGGTGGCTCCAACGGGGGTGGCAGTGACAGGCACAATGCCAAAGGTCTGTGACTTCCTTGTGTTTCCACACAGGAGACTTTGTGCAGCTGCCCGTGCCCATCATCCAGCAGCTCTACCACTGGGACTGCGGCCTGGCCTGCTCCAAAATGGTGCTGCGGTGAGTGCTCAGGCCTAGACTCTCCCCATCCACACCATCTGCTCTGGCTGGAAGGAGAAACAGGGCGAGACCTGGGTGGGATTCATCATCCATATGGCTATTCATGGTTAGGGTTTACAGGAGGCCCAGCTTCCATCCAGGCTTGGTTCCATCTGCAAAAGCAAGCAAAGGGTGGACTAGGCTCGGGGGATAGCCAAGGAAGACCCAGGTGCCCAGTCCTGGCCCACAGAGTGACCCCATGACAGGGACATGGGACCTTCCAACCTCAGGCTCCCTAGTGACTGTGTCACTGGGGAGCCGACTGTTGAACTAAGGCTATGTGAATGAATATCACAGGAACCTTAGGCATCAGAACATAGAGGGACCACAGTGATCTCCTTGTAGGAGATTTTTCAGGCAGCTGCCAGGAACCTCAGAGCAACCTCTCCCATACCTGTTTTATATCTTGGAATTCCAGGAAAGACAGTGTTCAACAAAAGTGTTCTGTGTCTGAAACTTAGAAAACCACTGATGTGGTCCAAGCATCTCATCCTAGAGATGAGGCCAGAGTGGTTGGCAACTTACCCAAAGTCACACAACCTGCAAGAGACTCAAGAAGCAGAATCCTCGACTCTGGGGCCAACACAGTGCCCCAGGCAGCCTCACGCTGTGCCCAAGAAGTAGACAAGATGTAGGATCATGACAAAGGATGGAGCCTTCTGATAGTGGCTGGTGGGCCCTTGGGAGGAGGATGACCCCAGCCAGCTTGGCAAGCCAACCTCAGCAGCCTGTCTGCCCACAGGTACCTGGGCCAGCTGGACGACAATGAGTTTGAGAGTGCCCTGCAGGAGCTGCGACTAACCAGGAGCATCTGGACCATTGACCTGGCTTACCTAATGCGCCACTTTGGCGTGAGGCACCGTTTCTGCACACAGACCCTGGGCGTTGACAAGGGCTACAAGAACCAGGTGAGCACTCAACTGCCAGGCCATCACCCAGGCCCAGTAATTGAAAAAGGGTATGGTCAAGGCCTGAACACCCGAGTGGGCACACAGGTGCACAGAGACCGGGGAACAGCAGCAAATGTCCAGTGGGCAGGACATTCGAAGCAGTCAGACCGGGTGACCTTGAGGTCCAGCCTGCCCAAAGCATCTAAGCAGTGAGAGCTGCCTACCTTCAAGAACACTTGATGATGTGCAGGGGAGCATCTCAGGCCGCCTTCTGTGTCCCTCCTTCCTGTTGTCCAGGGCCTTTGAGCATGTCACTCTGACCTCACCCTGCTGCCACTTGCCCATTTTCTTCCTTGTCACAGGGACAGCCGGCTCCAATCTGGGTAATTGCTATTCAGGAAGAAAAACTAAAATGCCACCTTTCCTATTTTTTTCTTTTTGAAATAGAATGTCAACATAGCCTCGCCATTATACCAGTGCACCCCCACCCCCCAACCCGTGTAGTTAGAGCCAGTCTTGCCTGCTGCAGAGGCACATGTCGGCCCAGGCTCCAAAACTTGGCAGAACACAGTCTCTCCTGGCCTCGCTGGCAAGAGGGTTGTCACATGGTGGCCAGTGCCAGTCAACCTAACTCTCCTTTGAACCTTCCAGGACAGGGGAAGAACGCTAATGGATCTGGCTTGATCACTGTGGCTGCAAGGCAGAGAAAAGAACCCAAGAACAGGGTCTCTCCTGCCTCCGCCCTGAGGGCTTTAGCCCCCTTAAGTCCCCTATGCCAAATAAAGTATGTCCCATGAATCTCATCTTGCTAAGCCAAGCAGTGGAGGAGCATCTGGGTGGGCTCAGCCACCCCTTTTGCTCATTTACCACAGACTCCCACTGATGTCCTTGGGGTTCACAAGCCCAGGGATGACTAGCCTTGCTGGGGGAGCTAGGCTGCCTGAGCTCAACTGCCTACCTGTCTCCTGAGCGTCCTCCTCATGCCTCTGTGTGGTCCTGTGCATTCTGGCCAGCCATCCTGCCGGCTTGAGACAGACGCAGCTTTCTGCCCGGATGTGCTGCATCTCCCCTAGCAGGCCGGGCTTGTCCCCTCTTTCACCATCTTTAACTCCATAACATGCTCTTTACTTCATCCAAATGGGGTGAGGACAGCCAGGACAGGCATCCCCTCCAGCCTGCTCTTCCCTCTTCAGTCCTTCTACAGAAAGCACTTTGACACAGAGGAGACCCGGGTGAACCAGCTGTTTGCACAAGCCAAGGCCTGCAAGGTGCTGGTGGAAAAATGGTGAGCTTCCCCTCACTCTTCCTTGTGCACCTACTCACCCACATATTTACTATGGGGGAGGCCTTGGGATGATGTACAGGAAAGGCTAGGGACTTGGCAGTCAGGCAGAACTGGGCTTTCCTACCCAGAATCTTGGCCAATTCTGAGGCTAAGGGCACACAGACTTGGGCTCCTAGGCCTTACTGTTTCCATCCATAAAATGGGGACATGTGGCTACACAAAACTCTGGCCTCAGGTGGATCACGAGCAGGGGCTGGAGGAACAAGTGAGCAAGACAGACTCCAGCCTGCCCTCAGTCTGCTCACAGATGGTAGCATGAGACAGAACGCAGGAACCCTTAATGAAGGGGTGACAGCCTAAGGAATATGCTGGCACGGTGATGGAGAGTAACGGGACAGCCCAGTGTGTAGGGTCTCTAGGGAGGCCTGGCTCTCAGATCTCCACAGACTGCTATGACCTTATGTGGGTCTCCCCCTTCTCAGCTATACGTGAGGAACACGATTCGGGCAGATCCTGGGAGTAACTTCCTCAGAATCTAATGACTTTCTTCTCCAGGCTCAGGCATGTTAGCTTTGATCCTGGTTGGGCTCCCCTAGACCACTCTTCTCAGGTCTTCCTATTCTTTACAGACCTATGTTTTCATTGTTAACATAATGTTACTGCATGATAGGTAATTGGGAAAATGGGAAAAGTCTCCACACATCCTTCAGCCACGTGAGCACACGTTGGAAGGAAAAGAACAAATGTTTATTTAGTGGCACCTGACATGTGCTATCTTGTTGAGTGGGAAGCTGGTGCTGTCCCCATTCCTCAGGTGAGGAAACTGAGGATGGGAAAAATAGTGTGAGCTGCCCATGGTCACCTTCGGCAACTCGGCCATGCTGTGATCCAAACCTGGCTCTTCCACGCCCAATTATTCCATGAAGCACGATGCATTTGTTCCAGCGCAGCCCCCGCTTTTTCTCTGTAGTTGAAATCCCATTCTTGTACGTACCATCGGGAACTCAGCCAGCTATTTCATTTCAAAGACCAAATGGAAAAATGGCATCTTTCTCCAGGCTGAGGCAACCAAACCAAAGCGCCTTGTGACTTAGCCATGGGCTGGAGTTGGGTCAGGCCACGTAGTGCTAACGTTGCCACTCCTGAGGAGACTGCTGAGGAAGGAGGCCCCCATAGCCTAGGGAACCACCACTCCACAGCCCCTCTCCCCTTCTGGATTTGCTGCCTTTTGTGGGGCATTGAATGGGGCAGTGCCTGATAGTCTGCCTCAGGGAGCAGCTGGCTCAGCTGAACTGGGGGGTCCCCTGGAAACACTGCTGACCAGCCCTTCGTGGGCAGCACCGTCTGCCACAAGGAACCTTAGAGAAAAGAAAAAACAAAAAGAAAAATAGTCCTTTCAGAGAAGCATGTGGCTTTATTTTATTTGTTTTTTTTTTTTAAGTTCTTATTTATTTATTTTGAGATAGAGAACACGAGTGGGGAAGGGGCAGAGAAAGAGGGAGAGAATCCCAAGCCGGCTCCGCAATGTCAGCACAGTGTCGTGACTCAAACCCACGAACCGTGAGATCATGACCTAAACCAAAACCAAGAGTCAGACACTTAACCTACTGAGCCACCCAGGCGCCCCGAGAAGCATGTGGTTTTAAAACTGATGAAGCCATGCTTGGCTCAGATTTTGGGAATTAAGTTGAACCGATAGCTTCCAATGTAAACTGCATGTGATTTAGGGTAAATGATCAAGGAGGGTGCTCAGCAAAAAAAACTTCACTAGCCAGGGTGGGAGGTGGGGTCCCATGTATTGATCCAGTGGCCCTTGACAGGGTCTCATCTGGAGCTGATGTGCCACCCCCTGCACTGGTCCCATGCTGAATCCTGCACTGGTCCCATGCTGAATCCTGGGCTGAGCTTGGGCCATAGTGACAAGGCAGGATGTTCCTATCTGCAAAGAGCTCAGGAGGGAGGGAAGTCAGCCATGTCCCCAAGCTTTGTGATCCAGGCAGGGGTCCACTTGAGAGATGGGGAATGGGACCCGATGGTGCCAGCTGACTCTCCTCCCGCCCACAGCACAGTGAGCGTGCAGGATATCCAGGAGCACCTGGCACAGGGCCACGTGGCCATTGTGCTGGTGAACTCTGGGGTGTTGCACTGCGACCTCTGCTCCAGTCCTGTCAAGTACTGCTGCTTCGCCCCCAGCGGCCACCGCTGCTTCTGCCGGACCCCTGACTACCAGGGCCACTTCATTGTTCTGCGTGGCTACAACCGCGCCACTGGCTGCATCTTCTACAACAACCCAGCCTATGCTGACCGTGAGTGCTGGGCGGGCTGGGGAGAGTGGGTGGGGCAGGCTGCATTCACAGTCCAGTCCCCATGATTCCTTCTCATTCAAGACCTCCCTCACTGCCTTCTCCCCAAACTTTTGCTCCTCCTGAGCTCCTGTCATCTGCGCTGCTTCTTTGGCCTACACAGAGCAGCCACAAACCCGAGGCCCTGCCAGCCTCCACACCCTGGTCATTGCTACACCAGGCCAGGCCATCTCCCTCCCACACCGCTGCCCAGAGCCCTGCCTCACCCTTACTCTGCTGTCCCCCCACCCTGGTCCCTGCCATCTCCCTCATTCCAGCCCTCCCAGGACAGCTAGCAAACATACTTGTCAGAGAGGAAGGTCTGCCCAGTTCCAGCTCTTGCTCCAGATCCAGCAAGGGCTCCCCACTGTCCTGGGGAATGGGAAGGACTGTCCTCACTCTAGCACACTTACCCCATGTGTCCTCAAACATGTTTCTTCCCCTCTCTGGGCCTCACCTTCTCCATCTTCGAAACTGGGGAAGGGTCAGAGAATGAGCTCATGTAGCCTGAAATAGGCAAGGAAGGCTTCCTGGGGACGGAAGACGAGTGGCAAAGGGTGGCCAGACGAGTGAGCCATGGTGAGATGTCCTCCAGCTCCCCTGGGCGCCAGTGAGGCAGGTACACCCCCCTCTACCTGCTGACCCCACTCTGCCCTTCCTGCCCTCAGCAGGAATGTGCAGCACCAGCATCAGTAACTTCGAGGAGGCCAGAACCAGTTATGGCACAGATGAGGACATCCTCTTTGTCTACTTGGACAGCTGACGGCGGGAGCCTGGTGTGCCCAGGCCCTCACACCCCACCCTGCCACACCCCAGTCAGGCCCACTCAGGAGGCCTTGGCACAGGCCCCGAGTTGCTAGGGCTTGGATGCAGAACTGCATCCAGCCTTGGCCCATGTGACAAAGCCCCAGGGAATTCTTGGAGCCCAAGGCGTGACTGCTTTGTCCACCAGCGTTGCGCGTGTCATCATGCCACTTAACCCTGCACACCTGCTGGTTGCTGGAGGCCTCCGCAGAGCATCTGAGTAGAGCCTCCCCTGGGACCCCAGGCCCGACTCCAACCACGCCCAGGGGACTTCCAGCCCCGTGGGTGCCTTTGTTGCCTGCAAACCAGACCCAGGTGGAGAAGGCTGAGCTCGTCTCCCCACAGACCTGGGGGCTGAGCCCTGGAGATGCCGCTTGTCAGGATGGCATCTGTGTGTTTGGAGACCATGTAGCCAACCCCAACTCCCAGGGCTGCGGACTGCTCCAGGCCTTGCTGGGAACTGCCCTCCCCCCTGTCCCCCCCAGAAGTGCTATAGACCTCCCTGTGCCCTTTGGTGAATGCCACCACTCTCTCACGCCTCCCCGTGGACCCAAGTTCCTGTGGCTGGTTGTCAGACCTCTGGGCCCTGAGGAGGGCTGGGCCTCAAGCCAAAAGGACCCTGAACCCTACCCCTCACCCTGCACCCTCCAGGTACTATAGCATTGTAGGG